TGAAGCATTGATATAGAAGCGAAAAGTTTAAAAAAAACTTTTTTTTTTTTAATCTAATCACTAAGGTATAGTTAGCCTTTTTTTTTTCATTGTTTCTAATGTTACTTATAGTTCGTACTATGAACTCTGGATGAGATCCATGCAGGATTACTTAACATGTCCCAGAACTCTCAGAGAAATGGAGAAACAGCCTTGTCGCAAGAAAGCGTATCGAATGGGATCGAATGGATAAATCTGAGCGATCGTAACGATCAGCTGGCCACGTAACTTTTGTTGTGTCGGCGTGTGAGTGTGTCAAGGCTGGGCATCGATACGTGACTGCACAAGTGCACGGATACACCGACCGCTTCCGCTGGCAATCCATTCGTTTAAATCTCAGGAGAGATTGTTACGGTGACGTCCATGTAGGACAACGATGCCATCAATTAAACAAATGGAAACAATATGGAGGAATACTAGACAACTCGACGATTTCCATTGCGATTCCTTTGATAGCAGTTGATCAGAATATCGTAAGGTTTGCCCTAATGAGTTCCAAATGGGGGCACTGAGACCATCGATTCGAAAAGATGAATAAAGCACAAGCGACTCGAAAATTTGCATTGCTCAAGGAATACAAGGAACACGAGGATCTTCGTTATATTCTCCCCCGTAACAGCTCACGATCGAAATTTACATTTCTGCCGCGCATCGGCCACAAGCGACGTGGGAGGAAGGTAAAGCCTGTTCGTAACTCCAACACGGATAAATCAGCGCTCGCGTCCTACCAAACGGAAGTGGTTAAACGCTCCGAGACCACCGCGCAAGCGGACGCGGTTTTAGAGCCTCGTGTCCTGCGAGAATCTCGGCGAGGATATCGCAGGATCGCCGCTGAAATCGCTGCTCGTCACGGATCACCGGTGCCAGGGGACGAAAAAGGAGAAGCAGGAAGTGTCCCGGCGGCGCTTTCGCGTCGAAACGGTTATTTCACGACGACGTAATTTCGCGATGCGGTTTTTTCTCGGGCCCGACCGATATGCCTTCCTAAACCGGTAACCACGTAATCTTATTAGCCGACTTTCTGAAATCCGACCAGGCCCCGTGCTCAATTTTTACATGCGTAGAAACGTTATATCACGTACCCCGGACGGGATCGTTTTCGCGGCTCTTTTTTCGTCAGGAAAATAACTAAGTACATTCGAGCTACCGAACGGACGAACAATGGCTGGACTGACGATCGCGAACCCATGGAGAACACAATCGTTTCGACTTCGACTCGGTACGAACAACCTCGTAGCGCGTACGTGATTTCTCTGCCAACAGGTTCCCTCTGCCACGGTGAATCACTCGTGACTCACGCGCGAATTCATACGCGAACCGAATCCCTGTTCCGTGATCTTTCAACGGCTCCAAGATTACGTTATCGCGGCCAGGTATCGTCCAAGTACAATTACACGCCTTGCTGTCGGATCGATCGTTCTTATTTTCAGTTCCTATTACTGGGGTGATTTGTAAATAATAACTTTCATTCCTTGATCTAATACAAACCACCACCGTTGGTCGTCGCTTGTTTCAAGGTATGGTCGTTTAGGAAACGAATTAAGAACAGCAAGGGACAATTATTATAGAGCGACTGTTCCGCGTGCAAGAATGTTCAACGGAGTTCGATCAATTAAGAGTTAACGAAGAAAGAAGAAACTCGGGTTGTTTCTCCGTCGCGACAACCGAAGGCGAGACCGGGATAGAAAATCTGGAGAAAGAGAAGGATGGAACGAGTGAAATCCGCTTTCTGCAATTAATCGCATCAAGGACGACTTTCCCAGGCCTCCGAGGAGATGTCGAGGGAAAATTCATCGGATCGAACGGCCGGTTGATCTCTTTAATTGAAATGCTTTAATTGGAGCTTTAGCCGAACACGAACAGCGAGCACAAAGAGAACGTAAAGAGGACCGAGGGGAACGTAAAAAATGAAGAAGAACGATCGAAGGAGTGTCGCGAGCAGTCGAAGCTTCTGTTTTGACGAAACAGAGGGAAAAAGAAAGTTTTTCCCAGACGGAGTCCACAGCGAGGAATTCCCGCGATAATTAGAACGCTTCATTTTTATCGGTCGCTCATCGGCGAGTATGATCTCGCGATGGGAACAAATTCGTCGCAACTTCCTGCGTCCGTGTCCGGGAACAATCGTCTCGCCGAACGAAATTCTGCAATTGGCCTGGAATATCCTCCAATTAATTAGCACAATGGAATCTCGACAATTGCAAGAAAACGCAACGACCCAATTTAAATCCGATGAAAGGGATTTATGTTCTTGTACTTTATCGGACACCGCTCGGCTGCTTTCTAAAGAAATTAATTCGGTGCCAGGCGTACGTTTCCAAGAGAGTAGGTGTAAAAATAAAATGTCGGAGCATATTCAGGTAATATATAAAATATTTCTATTTAAACTAAGATCACAAGTAAGTAAACGTAAGTACATAACATTAATTTCTACCGAGGATTTATCGATATATCGTGCATTTATCGAGGTAGTTCGAAATGGAACTCGTCTTACATAATTCATCCCCTATCCTGCGCCTATGATTGACCTTTTACGCAATCTTAAACGATCTGCTTCAGTCTCAAACGGAAGACTTCCACTTCCACTTTCACTTGTTGCTAAACGACCATCCATTCAACCTATCGATACACCGTGCACCGAACGAGCCTCGCGTGCAAGTATCGAGGTTGAGTTCATTGATGCTCTACATAGGATATATTGTGCCTGTGCATTTTTCATATTTACTTGTACTTTAGTACACCATGTATTTTTATTATTATCGCACAAAACATTATAATATGTGTACGTCTGGAATTCCCATAAGTGGATGAAGATCGTTAAGAAGCGCTAGTCCACCGAAAAAATTCGCCAACGAGCAATTCTCGCAATTCCTCGAGTAGTTTCCTATGTAAGTCGACGTTCGTCGATTGAGAGCGATCAGGCTACCAGCTTCGAGCACTCTCATCCTATATTTTTTCCCCACTTTCTATTCCCTTTTTCGGGGGAGGCCCACTTTCGGATCGCTCGCGATAAGCGACCACTTTCGTATGCAAAGACCCCGTCGCGATACTGTTATTGTTTCTAAACGAGCGTCCAGCCGCTGCGTGCCTCGGGAATTTAATCTTTCGTCGGAGAAAGGTTCCTCGTCGCGTGTCACCGATGAAACGTGAGGTGCCGAGAAGAGAATACGAATTTCTAACCACTTTAAACAATACCACCCCCCTCTCTCCTACCTATACTTACAACAAAAAGTGGTCGTGACGACTGCTTATCGCGTTTTTCAACATTCCTGCTGATCGTACCACTTGACCGCGGCTGCGACCGCAGCTGGCGAACGGAAAATCGTCGGAAAAAACAAAAACCGATGGTCGATTCGAAACAGTGGGAACACAGACGACCGCGAAGTGGAAGCTTCAAAATTAGCATTTCAATTTGTCCGCGCAGGTGTGTTCCGCAGGCTGCACCCGCGGCACCGACACCGATGACGATCGACGAGTCGTGTCGTGTTGCGTCGAGTCGAGTCGAGTCGAGTCGAGTCGTCAGCCGTGCGAGCACCTGACATTTTCAATGCAAAGCGTCCGCATACAATACTCGCGGTATAGCATTTACATATAACCCGCCTGCGCGGCTCCTATCCTATCTTATCTGCCTTTCTACACCGATGAACAAATGTTATTACATTGACGCACGACAACTGTCGATTATTTCTTCTTTTTGAGTTATTTTTCTTCCTCGACTCTGTCTCGAGCTTGCTTATTTCTTCATTTTCTATCTATTAACCTCACATTCAAATCGATCATAGTTCGTGTTGCGCGGTAAGTTAAAAACGATTTATTAGAACAGGTTTTCTTTTTTAACGGCACGGGGAATCGAACCCGGGACCCCTGGAGTGGCAGTCGAGGGCTTTCGCGCTGGACCATTCTGCACTCTATCATTCCTATTCTCATTTGACTGATTTTCGAAGACATTCGGTGCAGCACACCTTTGCAATTTACGATCAGGCGTCAGTGAACCGTGAAAAAAGTATCCAGAGATGTTACGGAATGATGCAAATGTCAACGCTGACTACTACCACCTACAGACATTCTTAGGAAATGAGGTGTCTCGTTTATGGCGTACGGAAAGATAGTTCGCATGCATGTCTACCCGAAGAAATTACGCTAGAAACATGTAACTTTCCCGTTTTGGCTAGTCGGGCCTCTTTCTTTAAGAATCTCGTAAAATAGATAAAAATTTCGAACAATTATCGGTAGACTGGGTTTTATGCATTTATGGCGTATAACAATATGATATATGTATTTGGCTGTCCCAAAAGTTTCTTTCGCTTTATTAATAAGTAATACATGCACAATATCTTATGTTTCATGTTACATTACTGAATCGTGCACGATTCATTTTGCTCCATTACTGTTACACCATCGATATCTATGAAATTTGATTGTCTATTTATATAAACACTGCCATGTAAGATAATTGAGTGCAACTCGCGAACGAAACTTTCGGGACAACCTAATATATATATATATGCTGAATATAATCTATTAATTAATATAATAATTTAATATTTCATGAATCATTGCGAAATTCATTGCTCTAATAAACGTCGATTTCTTATTTGTCGTTTATCATTCGAATTAGATTGCAATCATCCCTAACAAATTCCGCGCTACCACTTTTCCTTCTCTTTACGCGAGGAAACAGTATGTCCGCCATGTTCGCGCGGGAAAGAAATGCACGATGAACACGCACGCGAAGGGAAACGGTCCCGTAACAGATCGTTTCTGCGTGTGTCCGTTAGAGCATTAACACGCCGTAACATTTCAACGGACCAAACAAACGCGCCTCGTTACATTCCTCGTTAAACGAACGAGCTTTTATTGCCAACTACACACGTACTGTTATTGTTAACTGTACAAGGGGACGTAAAGCGTAACTAGATACACGTGGCGTGCATTTCCTCGAGAAAGTTTCGCAGTGAGTTTACCTTAACGCGCGTTGTGTGGTCTTCATTTCTGGCTGGTTCCCCGCAGATTCGTCCAAGCAGCTTCCCCTCAGCGTTGATCCATCGGTTCGTTTCGGTGTTCGAGGACACAATGGAGTAAAAGAAACGATGCACTGGCACAATTAGACACCGCGCACACCGCGGGAGTAAAGCTTCGGTTATTGCGAACCGATCAGCACCGAGTGACCACTTCACAACGTTATTTTCGCGCCTATTTCCCCGATGGTGTCGAATATCGGAACGACCAGCGTCAACGACAGCGCTATCCGGAATCGACAATGCGGCAACAATGAGAAACACTAACTATATGTATATATCGAATATCGATCACTTTGAACGATTCGTTTGTAATTCGTCGATAGAGGGTGGAAATCTTTCAGCGACAAAGTTAGACGATCGTTCTCGTTACCAGATTGTAAATTAGCCAGATCGTCGACGATAAGATGATAAATGTTATGTAGCTTCCATCGAGTACACAGCGGTAAGAGGCACGAATTGGATTAGTAGGACTCGCGACCGAGACACTTGGAGGTTAGGTCGAGTACGGAGAGAGCCACATAACCTCTCGCTCACCAACCAGATGATCCTGCAACCGTGGCGTCGACGTTGAATGCTTCCAAACCGTCGAAATACTCCTCTCTGTCGTTCATTTCATTCTTACGATGTCCGCCTCGACCCTTTGCACGCTTCAATAGCAATTGGCATAGCGGCGGTAACGGTTTACCCTCGAAACTCGCACGTGTTGCTGATTCGATTAATTCACTGACATCTGTCTTCTTCGCTCGCGAAATTGCTCTCGACCTTACTCCTCGACGTGCTCCGAAAATTGGAGCGGAGAAAATAAAACGACACGCGACTTGTCGCGAGCATCACGTTCGCGTGACAGGGTGCCGGATTCTGTCGTCGGAAATGGTTATTGTTGGCCCTTTTTTTTCTCGTTTCGTATACGGTAACGTTTCCTTGATTATCTTCGACGCGAAGATTCGGAGCCTTTCCTCGAGTCTTTTCGCTATCGAACCGAAAACTTCACCCGGAATCGGGTATCGCGTCCAACGCAAAAGCGTGCCACTTAACGAATGACCGATGCGTGCTTCCGACCGGCAAGACTGGTTTACACGATAAACACACGCGGCGAGTTCGCGAGAAATCGATTCGAGACTCGCGATACGAACAAAAAGTACCAAAGGTTCGGGCTGCTGTCTCGTGTCAGAAATTTTCTACTCCGATTTCGTAACCTCGATTATTTCCTACTTTCGCGACCGTTCCTCGCACATTTTTCACACTCTTTAGGTCGCTGTACTTTTTCGAACGATTACACGGAAGAGGGCCAAAGTCGTTAGTCGAAACGCCAGATGCGCTGTGCCCGCGTAATGATACACTTGTTTGTGTCGTTCGTTCGAAAACTACGTAGGCAACGATCCGCGCGAAATCTTCTTGGTATAAACACCTGCGGAACACCTAGAGCACCGAGACGTTACTTTGGAAAGGCCGAAAAACTTGGAATCGCGCGGCAGGTGCAAAAGATGCCGGTTTACACCGAGAAGCGAGCGACCACCACTCTTTGCAGGTCCCACCAACCAAGAGGTCCACCGTACGAGGACTGGTTTCACGAGACTCCCCGTGCTCGACCGGCCAGACTACTTCGAACGCGATAAAGGGAGAGGGAAACGCACACAGAAAGAGAGTGGGACGGCGGGAAGGGTGGCGCGGAAGGGGAGGACAGAGTGTGTGGAGAGCGGACTCGTGGAGTGTGGGTCCCGTTCTTCGGAGAGAGGCTTATTCCAGCGAGCGCGAGGAAGTACTGTTACTTAGACAGAGCCTTCGGGGCCCACAACGTGCTGCAAAACGCGATGCAGACCAGGACGAGGTGCATATAATTCCGGTGATGAAAAAACCCGACTGTTCCGTGACCGTCTTTTTCGCGAGGTGTCTCTCGCCAATCAAGCGTAACGAGATACGAACCGTGTTTATCGACAGAGTTGGTAACCGATTCGATTTACTCCGGTCTTTCCCTTTTCGACGGAGCTCAAGGATGCACTCGACGTACACCTGTGACGTACTCGTTTATTTTACGCTGTCGCAGTCGGTGATCGCCGTGGATGGATCCGGTATCGTCAATGTTTCGATAACTCCGGTTTCGTTCCAAGGTCCGCCTCGAGAAACTAGTCCCAATGGACGACAGATCCACCGCAACCGTTTTCGCCTTATCCGCGAAATTCGAACTCATGAAAGCCCTGTCGCGAGTTCACGCGCAACAGTCACGAGTCACGCGAAACGAATTGCACGGTACGAATGCACATTGCGTACAATGTAAACGCACGGAACGTGTACGCGTGCGTGGGCACACACGGACGAATCGCGTGTCCTCTTTCACCCTCTGTTTACTTGTGTGTCACGCAAGATTTCAGGGAAAACGTAGCTCGACATTCGCGCAGCCAACTGTCGCACCATAATCCCCGCTCGCACCAATGGAAATACATATCGGGTACAGTGATGTTTACGAATTCCTTTCTTGTTCAGCGCTCCTTTTCCCCGTTCAAGTGGAAGACAAAGTACGAAAGATACGCTTACCGCTCGGTGGTCGCGGCTCGACTGGACGACTGGCCGCCTCCGCGCTATTACCCGTCGCACTCACACCCGTACCGAGCGAATCAGCGCCCCCCGCCAACGTGCACTCGCCTCGGTATTTACGATGTATTGTTGTATCCGCAACGTTTCTTTACCTTTCTCAACTTGTTTACTTTAAACCGAGCAACGCTTTAAAAGGATCTCCGCGTTACACCGAATAATCTGTAATATAAAATCAATTTATTACTTATTTCCATGATCAAAAAGAGACGCGAATGAACCACTAACCGAGGTATTTTCTTGTCAACTCTGACGTCGCGTCGATTCCTGTCGCGTGCTTATCATATAGAGCGCATATACGTCGTATGTGAGTACAAATACTTCAACGACTGGGTGTAACCGGTTTCACTGATTTTTTCCCGAAAAGCCCTCGCGACGGTTTATAAAATTGTGCGCCCTTTGTCGTTTCATGACACGCGCGTATACTGCTGGAAAATACATCTAGATATAGAATACGCAGGCATGGTTTATATTTTAATAAACGCTTCAATCGTATCTTCGTATTCAAAGTAACGAATTACAGAATTTTTAGACTTGTTAAACGGCCGAAATGTTTATTAAAAAAGAAACTATCCATGTTTATTAGTTGTAGACATTGGACGACCCTGCGGGCGAAACAGCGGCCTACCTATTCGTCGATCCTGCGTAACAGGAATGGAGTTTTCAAAATTCCAACCGTACAATCGTCATGCACTGGATAATGTAAGGTGACACCAAGGCAGTCCAGTACGGAATCGAGATACAATACCAATATCACCGTGACCAAGCTCAGTCGAATGGACTCTCCTGACTTCGATATACCGTCAAACTAAAATTGATTTATACTGTTTACCCGCTAAATCCTTCGGAATGAAAAGCCTCGATACGGTAAAAACCCAAGGTAATGGAGCACGATCGCGTTGATAACAAAGTAGGAAGTCCGATTAAAATTAGTTCCAGCCAAGGAGCAAAGCGATTTCGTTTCCATTTCTACCGATGCATGAATTATTCCATTGCGATCGAGACACGCCATTTCTCCTTCCACGAGATTTTTTTCTTGCGGTGTTTCGATTAATCACAGCGCGAATTGAATAGCATTGTACCGAGAATGTTAATTACACGGAACTGTGCGATTCACCGACTTAATTGAATTCCCAGTCGACTTTCCCCGTTGGTAGCCGGTTGCTCTCGATCGGCGGGAACAGTTTCGACGTTTAAAGGGTGAGTTCCGAAGTAAGGAATTCTAATCGTCAGACTTCAGATCAACGGTGTGACTGAGGAAAAATTAAGAATTCTTTGCAAATAAATGGTAAGTTTACCTTAAAAAGGCACAGATTTCATTTCCGTATCTAATAATGTAAAATGTACTTGACGAAATTTCGATCATGCTCCCCTTTGGGAGACTCAATAATTTATGGTCCATGCGCAACACGAAACGCTAGAAGGGACAAAAAGGCCGTCCGTTGATCCGATAAGATAGAATAATGAAATTGCGTTTGACCATCATAAATCTCTGTCGAGCTCTACGCGTTGCATGATCCTTCGAAGGTGCAATATCAGTGCGACGGAGCCCAGGGAGGCGATCTTTTGAATCGCCGCTTAATAAATTGAGTCATTAGAGGCACAAGACAGAACGCATAACGAACGTAACGTTGTGGAGCAACTTGTAACAATAAAACCAGAACCCATCGTGTTTTTGCCATCTGCGACATGATGTACGAGTATATGTATAGTACACGCGGTATATTACTTTCTTTTGTAATTGTTTTATGTGCTTCGGTCGAGTTACAATTTTATGTACACGTATGCAAATCTATATTCAACATACATTATGTATATTTTTGAGGGGGTGTCACGTGTTCGTCCAACAGTCGGAAAAACAGGACTCAATCAAGATGGAGAGTGCTACCATCTGACAGCTGCCTCGAGTAACTAATCCTCGAGTTGGTCGATCAAAACGTACTCTATTTCGTGAAAATTGTAAATAACGAAAACCAGGTCTCGGTGTTTAATAAACATAGAGGGTAAGGATATGTGTTTGACTGTATTTGTAAAAGGATTTATGTTATTATGTTACATCTTTACATCATACAAATCTCGCACAAAACTATTATCACATACGGAGAATAATGAATTTATTTACATTTACATAAATTGATCTTAAATCTACATCAAGCATTAAGTTCACATCGCTCTTAACAACAGAGCTCCTTCGCTACATGTTTAGATGCAAGTGTTGAGCTGCAGCGATAATTTGACATCTTTGCAGTTCAAGCTTCTGTTCCTTCAACTTCAGAATACTCTTCTGGATCTCTAATTCGTTCTGCCTCATCGCCATCTCTTCTTTGTGCCTCTTCTCCTTGTTCTTCTCCGCGATCGCGAAGTTTTTCGACATCTCGTCGAAGAACTTCTCAAAGAGCACGTTCAAGGCTCCCGTTTGATCCAACTCCTCCGTTTTGTTGTTCGTCGAGGAGTTCGGCGTCGGCGCCGCCAGAGGGTCTTCGTGTTGTTGACGATCGGTCGTGGTGCTCTGCTCTTCTGTCGACGACGGTTTCGGTAATATGAACGTGTACTTTGCCGAGCCGGTTGCTAGCGGTAAATCGCTCTCTTCCAAATACATATGTCTCTTTTTCTCGTTGAAGATTTCGTCTAGCGCTCTTTTGTGCTCCCAGTGGCCGTAATGTCTCATTCTGCCCGGCTTCTTCAAACGTTCCCGAAACACAAGGTTCTTGTACTTACGTTCCAGTACGCGCCACTTGTTCTCGCACTTCTGCGGGCTGAAGTAAAATCCGTAATTTTGCATTTCGAGAGATATCATCTCAAACATTTCGCGCAAACTACGGATCTGCGTTGATTGCCCTACCATCGATCGATATTTTTTGTACTGGCTGATGAGACACGTAGTTGCCTTGCTGGTCCACAGATTCAAAGCGCCAACGTCGGCACTGGAAGGTATCGCCCCGTTACTGTCGAAAGCAGGGAAACCGTTCTCATGTTCCTCTTCGACGTAACACTGCATCGTCGGTTCCACCTTGATTTCCATTTGAGCGTCGACCTTTCCCCCTTTTGAAAATACATTTACATGTCAAAGTGGTTCGAACCAGTTTCGGTTGAATCGAGAGTAGCGATAGAATTAAATCGGGGAGACGAATTCACATAAATTAGGATATCGTGAGATAAGGTTATTAAAATATTACGCTGAAATGTTATCTATAGATATATCATAATAGAGATCAGGTTGGGAACTTGGAAGATTGGTAGAGTTATATATGGTTGAATATAGAGGCACAGAATGAATTTCTACACCTAGCAATCGAAAAATATTAAGGACGAGTAATTTACGGTATTCGTTTTTCCCGCGGAAATAGTTCGAGATACGATTAGGCGCTAACAGCGTGCCCACGCCCGTGCAACCTTCAAACACCATACCAGTAATGCGAATTTCAGACGTTTGAAGCTGTAGCGAATTCACGCAAAATGTAGCGCAATAATACAATCTGTCCATATTTGAGAACAGTTGCTTCTTACCTTTCTGTTCTGTAATATCTGCCATATTAGCGTGCCCTCGTAACGTAACCTCCGTTCCAATCTCCGAGAGAAGTCCGGCACGAGTGCCAATCTCGGTCGTGGCACGGTCTCGCAGGGGGCCGAAAAACCAATGGAAACTAGTTCCAAACCGGTTTCATCCTGGAACTGGTTCCGTACGCGTCGAGAACTGACGGCCATGTTACCCTCGTGTCTTTCGCAGACTCTAGATACATGTTAGAATATGCATCTTCAAACTAATCATATCGTACATGTTTGGAACATATTCGACGGTAAACTAATTCGTGTATCCTTTTTGCTGTGTTCTATGAAGATATAAGTTGATGTAAACTATTTCTGAGGGGATAGCAATCGTTGAATTATGAAAAAGATGCATAGTTGCATAATAAATAATTTCTGTAGTAGTTCGTCAATTGATTATACGGACTGCGCATCGAAGTATAATTTATGTTATTGCCGAGAAGAAAGAATCGTTGCAAAACCAATGAACCACTTTGAGGCAATTTACAATCGAGTTTCATACGAAGGAAAATATTCTTAAAGCTGCATTCCAGATTTGCTGATAACGCATGTGTGTTGCATTGCACGTTAGATCATGCTAAACAGTTGCATAACTTGCTATGCCTTCCATCTAATGGGTCGTAGTCATTTCGATACTTACGACGATCTCATATATAATTATACATGTTTGTACACATTCGTACAATTACAATTTCATTGCATCAGACCTTTCACCGTTTGTGACGATAATTATCGACCGCTGTGAATCGTTCGATGATAACGAGCGCTCCAGTCGATATACTGGAGAACGATCCACCTTCGATGGTAGCGCAGTTACGCGATCTCGGTAAGGCATTGATTTCGATACCCGATGATTTACTTTCCCTTCGAGGAGAAGAATTGCAACGTTCGAATCGATTGATTGTTTCGCAACAGGTCTGTCGCCCCTGGCGATCAATAAAGAATTCATCGTGACAATACGTCTAAGTCTATTCACCGTGATTACTGTCGAGCGATACTGGACAGGAGGAAACGTCACGAGTGCTCGGGATTCCTCGTTTTGGGTCATCGTTCGTTCCGATTCTCAGATACGTCCTGTTTCTATCATACTCGTTATTATCGTCCACCGGATGCGCTTCCCCCTCGTTCTAAATGTGCTCAACACGTGTTACCCTTTTTTCACCGAGTCCGTTTACCGATAAAGGACGCGGTAAATTTTCGTTCGCCCAACGGACTATACAACAGTTTTATTAAAAAAGCATCACGAATTCTCTCTTTTCAGTCATTAAACAAACAAGAGCGTAGTAGTGTTTTTTTTTTTCGTTTAATACTTTTCTGTACCGTCATCCCTTCCTACTTCGTATTTCCCGCTCCCCAG